TTACAGAACATACAAATACAGTTGTAGAAACATTGTCTGCCAACCCTACACATGGTCATGATTTCCTTAAATCTTTGAGTGAGATTTTGTTGTGACAAGAAAATGTCCTCCGTTTACCTATAGCTTTGCAGTCTCAGTTTGAGTTAAAGAGGTAAAGAAAGCTTGCAATGTATGCTTTTGCCGTTGATCATTTTAAACCTCACCCACTGCCATTGAGTCAATTCCAACTCTTAGTGACCCTCATTGAGTTTACAAGGAGGTAAATCTTCACAGAAGGAGCTCTGGTAGCATAGTGCCTAAGGCACTTGACTGCTAACCAGAAGGCTGGCGGTTCAAACCCACCAGCCACTCCTCGGAAGGAAGGTTGGGCAGTCCTACTTCCATAGTGATACTGCCTCGGAAACCCAAGGATGGGTCGCTATGAGTCGGGGCCGACTCAACGGCAAATAACAACAACAACAACAAATCTTCATGGAAGTAGATTGTTCCATCTTCCTTCTACAGAGTGGCTGGTGGGTTTTTGAACCGCCAACCTTCTGTTTGGTTAGCAGGCAAATGCCTTAAGCACTATGCCTCCAGAGTCCCTTATTTCCTGGTGTACCACATGACACTCATATAGGAGAAGCTGTGGCTGAAAAGATGGACTCCTTGCTTGAATGAACTATTGCCACAAAAGCCAAGGAGTTAAGAATCCTATGATCTGAGGGACATTTTTCAGAAAGAGGTTTTTTTTTGTTTTGTTTTGTTTTTTAAAGATACCTGTTTTTTGATTGAAGTGAAGAAGTTTTCAGTTTCTGCTCCAGTTGGCAATGGAGTAGCATTAAAAATAAGTATCAGCTTTATTAAGAGATAATTAACATACTGTACAATTTACACTTATAAAATGTACAATTTAATGGGTTTTATCATATTCACAGGATTGTATAACCTTCACTATAGTCACGAAGAAGAAACCCTGTACCCTATTTCCTCTCACTCTCCCAGCCTGAGGCAACCACCAGTCTACTTTTTGTCTCTTTAGATTTAGCTCCTTTCCCCTCACTGATGAGGTCAAGATGGGAGAACAAAGGACTAGCCAGATGAAGTGTTGATATTTCTTCAGTTACTTTATTGTTCAAAGAGACAGACTTTTTAGACACAAAATGAGAGCCACTTACCTTGCATTTCAAAGAATACTATGCCTAAAACATTTCTGACCAAGTGAAATATCTTCCTGACCATCTCTTGACAATTTGAGGGGTATATTCTGGTCACTGGAAAGTTCTCACAGCATGCCCATGATTTGGGTATGGAGAGATTTGAGACTGTGGGAGCTTCATTGCTTCCCTTCCACAAAGCTCGGGATTCCTTACATCTTCCTGATGCTATATCCTTTTCAGTACATTATGCTCTAATGCATATTTCCTGCTTTAGTGTGTACTTCTCTGTGGACTTCCTTCCTTTCTCTCTGTCTTTCTTTGTTTTTATCAGATATAAGTATCTTCAGCAAAGAAAAAATTGTATCATCAGTATAAAAATTCATTGAATTAAAATAATGCTATACCTCTGTCACAGGAGCTCTGGTAGGATAGTGCCTAAGGCACTTGACTGCTAACCAGAAGGCTGGCGGTTCAGACCCACCAGCCACTCCTTGGTTGGGCAATCTACTTCCGTAGTGATACTGCCTCAGAAACCCAAGAAGGGGTTGCTATGAGTTGGGTCCGACTTGAGGGCACATAACAACAACAACAACATACCTCTATCACAGAATATTTCTCATTACCTCAAGTTTCATCTGTTTGCCTGGTTATCTTTAAACAATCTGCTCTAACAAGTGAAGGAACTGAATTGACCCACCCTCTGTTTCCCTTTGTTCATTCCTCCCTTCCTCCCAAAGAAATAGCAATTTCAGTAATTGCATGTAGTTGTACAAATTGAAGGATCTCTGGTACATACTGGGTAGATTTTTTAAAAAAATTTAAGCATATTGTTGGGTTCCTCCTTTTTTTTTTCTTGAGAAGTTCATATGGTGAAGAATTAGAAGTACTTCTGAATATAATAATAAAAGGCTTAAGCTTATTTTGTATTTAATGTAACATTATTAGTTGAAAGTACAGTAATCAAGAAGAATTTGAGTAACAAGCCACTCCACATATTTTTTTAATAGGCTACTTTATTTAGAGTATTTATGGTTTTGTATAATTACCTTCCATTTAGTTTAGACAGACTTTACATGTTTTAAGAGACTTGCTAAAATGATTAAAGTAAAACAACTTTTTAAAAATTAAAATGTTGATAGTAGTAAGTCATTAATTAGGCTTTTTCCGAGTCTTCTATATATATATTTTTTTTTAATTCAGTAGAAATTTAAAACATATATGAATATATATATATAGAGAGAGAGAGCACGCTCTGATAGCATAGTGCCTAAGGCATTTGACTGCTGACGAGAAGGCTGGTGGTGCAAACCTCCCCCCCAGCCACTCCTTGGAAGTAATGTTGGGCACTACTTCTGTAGTGATACCGCCTCGGAAACCCAAGGAGGGGTCGTTGTGTGTGGGACTGACTTGACGGCAGTGAGTTTTTTATGTATATAAAAAACTTCTCTTTGTAGTTTTATCATTCAACCATAAATCCCTAAACACTATAGTTTAGTTTTGTGTGCTTTTTTAAAAAAAATGTTCTATAAATAGAGTCAAACAATATTTATTATTTTGTGTTTGACTCTTCGGCTTATAATATTTGAGTCAACTTATGTGAAAACAGTTTGCAGAAAAAAATTTTATTACATGGACAGAATGGAATAGACTTCACTTATGAAATAAGATGCATGTTTCACTTCTGGCTTTGTCTAACTGGCAAAGATGACTTTGAGCAAGGTACTTGAACTTTCAGGATTTCATTTTTCTTCTCTAAAACATGACACATTGGGTTATAATCATTGCTAGGATCCCATTCAGCTCTAAAATTTGGTGAATCTGGATAAATAAATGTTAAACTAAAGTATCTTCAATTTCTTTAATTTTTGTTTTCATTAGGTTGTCTTGGAGATACCCAGTTTTGTTTTAGATTTCGTCAGTCTTCTGGGCGGAAGATGTCACTGCATTGTCTCCTGGATCAATTTGACAAAGATTTACCAGTTTACTTAAAGGTTGGAAAGTAGTAATGGAAAAATGTCCATGTGAAAAACTTTAGAGCTCAGTTATTCAGTTACGTCCAATAGCATTCAGAAATGTTTTGCTTTTGTTTTGTTACTGTAGTATACAGCTGGATTTCCTAAGTGAGTCTAATTCATAAGGATTCAGCATGTGAATGAAAGAGACTTTACAAAGTTACTGAGTACATATTATGAAACGTATTATAATCCCATTGAGAATTATAAAGAGGGATTAGAACATTGAGGTAATTTCCTTTCATTTGTTAATAACTCGGTTTAGATGTGGGTGTGGATGGTGTTATACCAATAAATATCACCCAGAATTGAAGTAGTTATCCCCTGTGGTAATCCCTGCAAGCTTTATGATAGCATGGCAGATGTCTCTTTTTGATCTCTTTAAAGCAAACTTAGTTTTACAGGTATTGTTTATTAAGACAAATAATTCAGATGATTCCAGAATCTTTATGGTTTTCTCTCTCAGATGCCCTATTTACATCTCTGATTGCATGAGGAACATTTTCATTTGGACGTCCTATGAGCAGATCCAGTATTAACTTGACATCATTTGACTAAAATAAAATTTTACAATTTTCCACCATTTCCACTAATGACAGGAACCCTCTCCCAGTTTGCAGTGGTCATCCACCCACCCATGCTCTGAGTCAGTTCCAACTCATGGCAACCATACAGGGCAGAGCAGAACTGCCTCCATAAGGTTTCCAAGGTTGTAGTCCTTATGGGAACAGATTGCCACATCTTTCTTCCATGGAGCAGCTGGTGGGTTCTAACTGCCGACCTCTCAGCAGTTTAACACTTAATTATTGTGCCACCAGGGCTCCTTTTTGCAGTGATTGAAAAATAAATAAATAAACCAAACCCACTGCCATCGAATCAGTTCTGACTCATAATGACCTCCATTGGGTTTCCAAGGCTGGAAATCTTTACGGAAGTAGATTTTTTTCATGTTTTTAATAAAGAGCAGCTGGTGGGTTTGAAATGCCAGCCTCTGGATAGCAGTCACGTGCCTTACCCACTATGACACCAGAGCTGCTTTACAGTGATACTACCCATGAAATATCTTGTTGTTAGTTGCTATTGAGTTTATTCCAACTAGTGAATTATAGCTCTGGTAGCATAGTGGCTAAGGCACTTGACTGCTAACCAGAAGGCTGGCGGTTCAAACCCACCAGCCACTCCTCGGAAGGAAGATGGGGCAATCTACTTCTGTAGTGATACTGCCTCGGAAACCCAAGGAGGGGTCGCTATGAGTCGGGGCCGACTCGACAGCACATAACAACAACAGTGAATTATAGCCATCATATTCTTTCAACCAAAGATACTACTTATTAGAGCTTATTATATTTCAAGCAACTGTATTAACAAGCAAATATTACATATATGATCTTGTTAATCCTCCCTGCAGTACTCTGAGAGAGTTCCTTTTGCAAAGAGGAAGTTCAGGGTTACTGAGAATAAGAAATTTGCCCAAGGACTTCCCAGTTCTTGTTTTTTCATTGCAATATATCTTACACCAAAATGTTATTAGCCAAAGTGTACATATAATTAAAAAAAGAAAAGTCTACAATGTCTACCTATTACCTAATGAATAAAGAGCTAATGATAGTAGTTTTTCTTTGTTCTTGCTTTTTAGGCCTTCCAAATAAGAACCCCTTACCTTTCCAATTTCCAACTTCATCTCTCTTCTATACATGTGCTGTTTTAGCCAAACTGAACTATGTGTTTTTCTGAGATAGTTTGTACTTTTCTGTCTCTGAGTGTTTTTGCCCAAACTCTTGGCCCTCTAAACCTGGAATGGCTCCATCTTTGTCTTTGCTTAAGTCACATCCACCCTTTAACATGCTACTTAAACATAGCTGCTGCTATGAAATCTTTACCAATTCCCTTAGACAGAGATAATCTCTTCTTTCTTGGCCTCCTTGTAACATTTTGTGCTTTCTTTGTGGTATCTGCCCTTCTATTACATAATAGTCATTTTTGTACTTTTCTTATCCCTCCTAGATTGTGATCTCCTTAAAGAACTGTGTCTTATGCATCTTTTTATCTTCTATCACAATGACTTGTTCAAAGTAGGTGGTCAATAAATATTTGTTTAAAGAGTGACAGTCAGAAATTAGTAACAGGCCAGAGTTTATCCCATTAGAATGTAGAAGCTTCTTAAGGTTTTGGGAATGTAATTATTTCTCCAGTAGTATGTTTTATTATTATTGGGATACAATACATTAGCTTCATAAGATTCACACTGGCATTTAACGCTTTTTATTTTCTCTCTTGAAATTTTATACTAGGACTTCATTTTGTTAAAAGACTGACCTGACCTTTAAGCCTTTACAAATTCAAAATTGTAGGCAGAATTTTTTTCCCCCTAAACATAGCTCTGGATAAAACTTAAAATTTTGTTGTTTCCTCAATTCCAATAATTAGTATAGATATGAATAAAGAATATAAATTGAGTAATTTTTAAGGGGAATAATATGACTTCTTTGCTTTAGTTATGTTTGTTTCATCTTTGGGCAGTCACAATGTTTTTAACTGGCATTTATGGGCATGATTATTTTGTTGGTGAGAAGACACAACTAGTTTTTTGTGTATTCCTCATGTCTCAGTCGGGTTTATAAAGAAACCTGATGTTAATACTAAAAGATAGTAATATTTATATATGTATTTTTATCATCTGTCATTTCTTTCATAGAAGGACCCTGCTTATTTTTATGGATATGTGTATTTCCGACAAGTTCGAGATAAAACTCTGAAAAGAGGCTACTTCCAGAAGGTAACTTTCAGATAAACTAATAGAAAAAGTTTTTCGTATTGTTATTAGGAAAATACAAACTGATAATTCTGCAGTCTCTGATATTTTATCTTTAAACATACTAGAATTTATATCTTACCTTTGTTTTTTAGATTATAGACATCTGTCCCTGAATTTTAACCTATTGTTGAATTTTGCCTTTCTGTGCTAGAATCCTCCTAATAAATTACAGTTATTATAGGAACTCTGTAAAAAGCCAGAATAGTCTACCTAATTTTTATATTTTGCAATAAGGGAACAACTAAAAAGATTGTAATATTATTACCACTAATGAAAATCTGCAATAGTCTTTTTTTTTTTTTTTAAAGTAAGGGCCAGTAAAAAACTTTAACAACATTCCTAGCTATTATTGTTTCTACTACAAATGTACAGTCTTTTTCTTTCTTACAAATAAATAAATAAAGCCATTGCTATTTAATTCTAGCTAGAAGGAAAACAGTCTTTCATAAACCAGAATTTGCCTCAACTAATTGATGCTATAGGAGCTCTGGTAGCGTAGTGCCTAAGGCATTTGACTGCTAACCAGAAGGCTGGAGGTTCAAACCCACCAGCCACTCCTTGGAAGGAAGGTTGGGCAATCTACTGTAGTGATACCACCTCAGAAACCCAAGGAGGGGTAGCTATGAGTCGAGTCCAATGCTAGGACACATAACAATAACAACAAATTGATGCTACATAATCTATAGCAGGAGTGGTCATATGATAGTATCACAATTTATAAGTATTTAACAGTTAATCTCTAAAATATAACAGTCATAGGTCTTAGTTTGCAAAACCTTCGCATTCTGCTCTTTTCTCTTTAGGAATAGCTTATCTGATTAATTTCTGATACTGCGTTGCTATTAACCCCAGTAGGTAGGCATTGGAAATTATTCATGGCATTCGTCGGTTAAAAGGAAATTCTTTTTGCTGAAGGGCAGGAAAATATGTCTTTATGATGTTAAAGTGTAGTGATAGGTTAACCTTTTGCCTTCTGCAGTTACAATTTTATGTTTCCTTTAAGCAATTCACTGTAAAAGGCTTTTTATTTCAAAATCCACACTTACTGGTGAATGTGGCTTGTTAGTATTGACTCATGCAAGAAATGAATGACAAATTTAAGATTATAATCGTTATGTATTTAAAACGTTTCTTTTTCTCCTCTAGTCCTTGGTTTTGATCAGCAAGCTACCTTATATCCATTTTTTTCACACTGTGCTAAAACAGATAGCACCGGAGTATTTTGAAAAGAGCGAACCTTATTTGGAAGCAGGTAAGTTAAACATTGTGTGAGTCATGTGACCCTTATGAATGAGTTTTTAAAAACTCAGTAGAAATGAGTGGTAAAATCAAGTTGACTTTGTAGAAACATTAGATAAGAATTTAAGGACTGTATAGTAGGAGATGTAAAATTCTTCTGGTATCTTTACCTACAAACATTAAAGATTTTATCTTTTGTTATCATCACTTATAACATCTTATTGCCGCTGAGTTGATTACCACTCCTGGCGACCCTCCTAGGGTTTCTAAGACTATAATCTAGACTGCCACATCTTTCTCCCACAGAGTGGCTGGTGGATTCAGACTGATGACCTTTCAGTTAGTAGCTGAGCACTTACTTAACCTTTCCCTCATAGCATAGATGATGCCTGTTTATTAAGTTAATAATATCCAGACATTCTATCAGTGCTTTTGAAGAGAAATCCTTATGCCATTTGATACAGAAGGAAGACTTTGGCCAAGTAGTGTTCTTTTGTAGCTAATTTTAGTTGTAATAAGTACATAGGAAAACTCCCTTTAAAACTATTTAATTTTTTGTTTTCAGATAACTTATAATTTATATTCTAGAATATATGTATATTTCTAAATGAAATGTAAGTTTCATTACTTTTCCTTTTATCTTCCATCCTTCCTGGTGTATGTGTGTGTTTGTATTTCTGAACATTTCATTGTGGTTTGGGTATTTTGTGACAGTAGTTATAATCCCCTCTGTGTGAACAGCACTCTTCCAATTTCCTCCTTGGATTCCCTATTTCTATTCACCCATACTTTCTGCCCCTTCCTGCCTTCTGAACTTTGTTTTTGGACACATGCTGCTCCTTAGTCTCATATGGTTCATCTTCCCAGTATATTTTTACTTAAATCATAAAAGGTAGAATTTTAATTTCTAATGCCCATTTTTAATATTTTGTTATTTCCCCTTACACTAAGGAAATACTTTACTGTATTTTTCAGCTTGTAATGATGTTGATCGATGGCCTGCTCCAGTGCCTGGAAAAACATTACACCTGCCTATCATGGGGGTGGTAATGAAGGTAATACCTTGTACCTTATTTGTTTCCTTAAACAACTATGTAGAAAGCTCACACATGGGGTTTGTTTTCACTTCCTAATAATACTCAGCCTTTCTTGCTTTCGCTTGCTTCTTGTTGATGTGAGGAGTTAACATAATTCATCCTGCAGCAGGTGACGAATAGGTATACTAGTACAGGAACCACCAGTCCCATTGTATCCTGTGTAGTTTGCACCAGGGTGCCATTTATATATTATACATGTGAATGTAAATTCTGCCCTTTGGATTTGTGCAACTCCATCATCCTATCAGTGCCTCTAGACATGTGTGGTCTTCAGAAACAGATCCCTCAGTTGTAGGATTGAGTATGAATTAATAAAAATTAAGAGATATTAGGAAAACTGAGACTTCTGGTAAGATGGAGGAATAGGCAAACAAGTTACACAGACCCTCTTCAACAAAAGAAAAAAGAAACCAACTAAGAGAGATACAGAAGATAATCCTGGAGCCCTGATCTTTGAAAGGAAGTATACAGAAGTGGGTTAGGCACCAACTAGTGGGAAAACCTGAATGAAAACAGGACCTAAGAATAGGCTCCGATCAACAAGACCAGAAGTTGGTTTTTTGAAAAGATCAATAAAATTGACAAACCACTGGAAAATTTAACAAAGGAAAAGAGGGAGAGAATACAAATAACATGAATAAGAAACGAAATGGGTGACATCACAACAGAACCAACTGAAATAAAAAGGATAATATCAGGATACCACGAAGAACTGTACCCCAACAAATTTGAAAATCTGGAAGAAATGGACAGTTTTCTAGAAACATACCACTTACCTAAACTAACACAGCTTGATGTGGAAAAGTTGAACAGGCCCATCACAAAAGAAGAAATTGAACAGGTCATCAAAAAATTACCAACTAA